GGGACGTTATGTTGCTGGAGGATCATCAGCAAACACCAGATCTCTTTGTACTTCAATGCAATGGTGCTAAACCTGAAGATTCTTAATTCATTATCATATGAATCATACAAAAGCAGCCGTTCCTCCTATATGACATGCTGGAAGCTGGACATTTTAGGCAGTTGTGCTTGATTAAAGAGCAATTTAACTGTAGGAATCATATGTAACCTGGACTTCTAAATTACATTATTTTATCCTTGATGCCATTTAACTAGCAGCGGAGCACTTACTTGATACAACTGTATGGACTGTGAGCTGTTTACCTGACAGCAGGGTGAAGGTGACGGAGTAGATGCCGTTCTCCTTGGTGGCGCTGGTGCTCTCGGTGTAGGTGATGTCCACCTGGAACTTCACCGGCTTCTGGAACACCGTCGGCCCGGCTGTGGACTTGTACTCGGCCCGGAAACTTGTCTGAGAGATGACGCTGTGGCTCAGACTGGGAATCTGGGAGAGAAAGTCTGAGTCAGCAGCAGCACAGACAAACAACCTCTGCATCGGCTGGATGTGAGAGGAAGAGATGGCAGCAGAAGGAGACGGTGTTTCGGACGTGTCGCATCTTAACACGTCGTGGCATTCTGCAGCGTCAGCGTCTGAGTCAACACTGACAACAGGCTGCGGCACACGATGCAACATGACTGAACACTCACCTCAAGTCCAACCTGCACCTGAACTGACGTCTTTAAACACGTGTGTCTGAGTTATTTCTGAATTTACTGTTCATGTTATTTTGTATTTGAAAGAAGAATTAGGATGTTTGGACTGACTGTGTTTTTAGCATTTAGCATCAAAGAACTGTTCAGTACCAGCGACTTGCTGAGATAATTTACCTGTTTTTAAATTTGTATTTTGAAAAAAAAAAAACTATTTTAATGCTCCAAAATGTTAGAATAAATAATGCAGCACTTAAATCTAATGCGAAGAAAATAATGTTACACCATCATAAAGTAGTGGTGCCAAACGCTAATTAGCTTAGCTTAGCTTAGCAGAGCAGCAGTTGATGTCATCACTGCAGCCTCGGATTTGAGAAGAATTTATGTGATTTTAATTCTTTAAACTAACCTTAAATCGTATATTTACAGTAGAGCCTGACTGAAATTAGCTCACTATCTAGCTAGCAGTTTAATTACACATTTCCGTGGCACAACACTGACTAGATATGCACCAACATGGAAACTTTGTTTTACAGAACATACACCAGAGTAATTTAAAAATCATCTAGTTTGTCTGATGATTGCCATCCTCTCAGCACTGCCAGGACAGAAGGGAACGGTGGAGACTTACGGAGAGGAAGGCGTGGACGATGTCGGCCTTTATGGAGCTCAGAGGTTTGTCTCTGATCACAATGAAGATCTGCTCCTCCTTCTCCAGGTTGATGAAGTTCCCGAACCATGACTTCTTCGCCAGTCTGCAGAGGAGAGGAGAGCTGAGATCAGAAATGATGCTGGACACATGACACGACTCAGAACGGCTGCTTAAACTCACAACAATGTAAAGCTGAAGTTTGTCTAATTAACATGCAAAAATGACATAAGCTTCAGTTTACTTCTGTTCTTTAGTGGATCTGAACAAACTTCCTGATATGACAGATGAGGAAGAAAGAGGAAATAATGTTGAGTGTCGTCCTCGTATATCCAAAGTAGAAGCAGCAGCAAAATAAAGTAGCATCATAAAGTTAGCTGTAGGAACTGTACCAACTGGATTTGGTGCACATTTCTACTGTGTATAGTCGTGTTGCAAGAGGATCAGATCAATGTATTCACATTAATGGTACCTAAAATTTCAAGCACCTTTATGCTGGTTTGCATCAAAAAGGATTCATTTGTAAATCATAGTTTAACTTTAAATTATGTTGTACCAAACTTGAGAACTAAAATCGATTAAATTAAAATTTACACCATTTATTAGAACCAGAAACTGTTAAAGGAGAAAGAATTGTCAGTAACCCTGATTTTCAGATAGTCCTTGAACTATGTTATGAGCCATTCAATCAAGACAATTAAACAAATCTAAGCTTGAAGTTTTAGTTTTTTCAATAAAATCAATTTATTCTACATGTCTCAAAATAAATAAATGCTAAAAATAACCCTTTCTGCTCTGATCAAATTCTAAAACTGAGAGATCAGTAGTGAATTGGCTGCAACCACCAATCACAAGACAAACAGTGAGAGAGTATTTGGTTGAACCTCAGGCAGTGTTTCCTCAGAGAGGAGGCAAGTGTGGAATCAAATTCAGAATGTAAGTATTAACGTATCTACAGTAAACAGCTATGTTTTATAAGTATATGTAGCACCTGTGGACACTTGGAAAAATGTTGTACATGTTGATTTCAGATTTTTCAAACTTTGTAAAATAAATAATCAAAGAAATCCACCTTCTGTTTTCTTCTTCTTCTTTTAATGATTTATGGCATTATAACTTCATCGTACTGCACTGAAGACATTTTGAGTTCTCTCTCCTTCTAGCCATGATTGTCCTGTTTCCACAGAGGTGCAGGACTTTATACTGAAGTGGAAAAATGAGTCCACGGTGAGTAAAACTGCTTGGTGCTGTGGGTTAAATCTGGATTCACACCTACTTTTGCTGAACTTTGCTTAGAACTAATCTCAGATTAAATTAATCTTTGTTGCTGTAACCCAACATTAGTGTCGTAATGTTTGGGCTGAAGCACCTTTTATTTTTTAGGAGGATCTCCTAATTCAGGAACTACTTTTAATGTGAGGATTTATTTCCACAGTTTGCCGAAATTGAGCAGAAAAGTTACTCTACATTAATAAAACTGCATCACACTATACGCATATACTACGTTAAACTCGAGCGAAACTTGAGCGAAAAAACAAATATTATTTGTTGGGGACTATTTTC